AAGAAAATGTAGAAACGGAAGCCACCCCTCCTGTTTTCGTGTGCATACTATCACTTCGTACATTTTCGAAGTAAAAAAAAAAAAAAAAAAATGAAAAATGAAAAAAAAAAAAATGTTAAACCAGACATAAAACGAGCCCATTGTAATCCCCCTAAGGAAGTGGATACGTTCTCGGCATCTCGGACACCTGCTATACACGTATATTCGGTCTGCGGCCGTGTAACGTACACGAAAGGAAAAAAAAAATGTATATATATATATATATACTCGTAGGCGCATAATGAATTTTCATGTTATATTTAAATCGCGATGAAAAAAAATTATCCGTTCCCTCCGACTTTTCGAACGCGAATTGTAACGGTAATTATTTCTTATCGAAATACACCGTTCATAATCTAATATAGGTTTTCGATGCGAATTCAAATGTAAAATGTCCACATATTACAGATCCGCACACGTTGTGTATAGAACGTAAAATATCTGTTAACGCCATAAACGGCCGTCGTTATGTCGGACTGGCTGAACACTACTTCTTCGCGGATTAGGTTAAAATCGAATTGGCGACGATTCGTTTTGTTTTATTACGGTCAACCGGTGACGCGAAAATGTTTCGGCCGGACGGGCGGACATAAACGCACTCGGGTTGAAGTGGGGTTTTTTTCCGGGAGTTCCGGGGTACTTAAATATGCGTGTGTTGTGTCTGTTTTCAAAATGTCAAACATTACGGGTGGGGGGAGGGCCGGTATTCGCAGTACAACTTGCGTTTCAAACGGAAACACCTATAGAAACACCGGCCAATTAGGTCTGTCTAAACAACCAGGTAGGACCAAAAGGCATTTGGAAAAAAAATATTCGACCATAAATATTCGAATTTGCAGGTGTTTCCGTTTAAGAAAATTTGAGTCTAAAGCCCCTGCGTCCTGCACACCGCGAAACAAAACATGAAGCATTGTTGTCGACAAGTTTCCGACACGTAAATTAAAACCACACGCGTCCAGAACAGAGTAACACATTTATAAAACTTTATTTAATTTTTAGCTAACTGGTTTCGTATACTTATTTTTATAATCTGATCCATTTTGGTCGAATTCCGGAAAAAAAGACGCGAGGGGAAAAAAGAACGAGTAAAAGAAAAAACACGGAAAAAAGAACAATAAAAAAAAAAAAGAATATGATAAAAAAAGACCATTTTTAAAATTTTGAATATAATAATTGATTATTACATAAAAAAAAAATGTATATTATAACACCGGAACACTTTGATACATAATTTAGTTCACTCAAATAATAGCGTGAAATTATGAAAAGGTCTTCATAGGTAATTTCAAGGAATAAAAGGAATGAAAGATTTATCGCAACCACTCGTTATTATTTTGAAAAGTTTTAAATTTTTTTTTGAAATACTTTTTTCACATAATTGTTTACAATTACAAAACCAACATGTTTCATAAGAAATATAATTTTTTATGTTTCGATATTTTTAAAAATTATATTAAATAAAAATGTTTTTAATTCATTATAATTAATTCATACATTTAAAATTTTAAAATTGTTGTTCTTTTTTTCCTCGGTCCCCTTTTTCACCGATTACCGCTTTGGTCCCATACTGTTGCACTTTTATAACACAAATAAATTAACCAACTTTATCTACAGCGCATGGGGTTTTTTGTACGCACGAAACGGCAAACGCGTACCTGTATTAAAATAAAAGCGTATTACAGTGAACAAAATTAATCAATCGAAGCAGGCTCGGCGCGCGTCGAAACCCTCGGCCGGCTGAACGCCTAGACAATACAATCTCGTACCGAAAACGCAGGAGACTGGTCTGGACCCCGGACGTGCCGGTGCGACACCCGGTCGATCCTTTGAGGTTTACCGGCGCGCGGACGGTGTCGCCGGCAAAGTTCGCGACGGCGTTTCCGTGCGGTTTTCGTCGGTCCGTCCGGCGACAGTGTCCGGCACTACGGTATCCCTCGGTCCGCGCGCGGGGGCTTTTCGGGAGACGAACGCTCGCGCCGCCACCGGTCGGAAAAACGTCCGAAAACAATCACGGAGACGCGCGTTCCGGCGCTGCCGGTTTACCGGACCGCCGATCGCGGCGCGCGTTGCTACGGGCGCGCGTAACCTTTTGCGTTAGAGAAATTCGGATTATTACTCGGTCCGCTGTCGCCGTAATACGCGCGCGACGACGTTACTGCCGCGGCGGTCGCCGTCGTCGCGGCGCGGTATCGTTACGGGTAACACGGGCGATCGTAGACTATCGCATTGTGTTACGCACTGTTATTGTTATTGTTGTCGCTATCAATAATTGTCCGCGCGTGGCGAGCACTCGCAGTTACGGGCGAACGTCCGGCGCGTTTACGCGGCCCGGTAACGACAACGGTCGTAAATAAGCGGACGACTGCTACGGATTTGCGCGGGCATTACAACGCTAACGTCGAAATTGATTGTTTTCGAACACCCCCAACCAACCAACCCCCCAACCCCCCCCCCCGTACGTCCGTCCGTCCGTTTTCGTTGTTGTGCGGAAAATACCGCGTGCGGTCGCATCACCGGCCATCATCAGACCCGGGAACGTTATTCGCGAAACGGCGGCGCTACTCCGCTCGGTGTTACCGTTTTAAATAGGAGACGTGCGCGACGCGAACCGTCACAGTTCGCAGTCGGATGCTCGCGCGCGTCGCGCCGCGCGGAAATTAAAATGGCGCCGATTCTGTACAGATCGCGTGTTTACATTGAATTTATCCGGCGACGTACCGGTTCGCCGTGATGTCGAAACCGACAGCGCAACACTCTCGCCGCCGCAGCTGAACGGAAATTCGCCGCGTCGCGCATTTCCTTAAGACGGAACCGACACACATTATGCGGGCGCGACGCCCGTCGCGCCCGTTCAATCTGAAACGTTTGACGTGAGAGCGGGCTTAAGACGTGTACGGGACGGTCAACCCCTTCACCCCCCCCCCACTAACCCTCCCCCCCCCGAAACAACTCTCGAACGAGCAATAGTACCGCGAGTGTGCGCAGTCGATATTTTATGGGGCTCTCAAGAGCCCCGCAGAAATACCAGTAACAACGCCGGGCTGAATCCGCGCATTAATTATAATATGTTTTTTGCCGCGTTGCCCGCGAAAGTTATTTATTTATTTCTCACTGGCGGCCATTACATACATTTACAACACTACAGATTTAGTAAGTGTGTAAAAATAAACGGGAAACACGGTTTTTCGGCGCGGGTGTTTTTTTTCTTTTCTTTTTTTCTTCTAAACGTTACCGTGCAATCGAACGAACCAGTTTAAAGTTCGTTTAATACGTGTATATTATACTAAAAAAATTCTAATCAATATTCACACGGGAAACTAAAAAAAAAAATTGCGTTCGGTTTACAAAAATGATAGACAAATAATTGTAGAAAAGTAAAAGAAAAAAAAAATAAGAAGAAACCGCGAGGAGAAAGTACTTATATAAATACCTATACAATTAATTGATAATTAAGCGACAAAAATATTTTAAACGCATTCCGAAATATGAAAACGAAAGACGCGAATGTTATTTTTGATAATATATTATAATAATGTGTCTAATAACTCTAATATATCATTTTTATTTAGAAACACATTGTACAATATAAAATATAATACTTCAGCGTGATTTCCGCCATAAAAAAAAAAAAAACCGTAAAAAACATGGCATTACGATAAATTAAAAAGCTGGACGTACTTCGCACCATGGGTAGGCCATACTGATGTAGGCGGAAGGATTAATTTCCACCAAAACACGTGTCCTTTTTCCACGAATACCTGACTCCACCAAAATTTCATCAAAAGAGATACTGACCAATTGTCACCACCACCGACTTTATTACAGCAAAAATCGAAATTCTTTCGGTAATACTATCCAACTTTTTTTCAGATTTTTTTTTTTTTTCGTGACAGTTACTGAAACAGGCAGCTCTATAATCGTATTGCACGGCTTTTATTTTCGCGATGTTCATTTTGAAACCATTACCCGGCTTTGGTTTTTTTTGATAGCAACCAAAATAATTAAAAATTGAATAAAATTAAAGTTTTTGATGAAATACATTTTGGCGTCGACGTTTTTAATTTCCGCCGACCCGTTGATGGTACATATACACCATTTATAAGTTTGTGAAAGGGGGAGAGTGGTGGGACACCGTCTGCGTGGCGGCGTTTAATAAGTGTGCTCCACTACTGTCCTCCTACACCAGAATAATTGTACCTAATCAATGTACACGTTAAAGTTATTAAATTATTGGTATCGTATATTGTTGAAATTTCTATGGTAAATAATATCATGGCGCATACATACGCAGTATAATGGAGTAATTACATAGGTGCAACTAGAGTACTAGACCACCGACCCCGGGGGCGCTAAAATTATGGGCACATCAAAAACCCACGGGGGAAACGATGCTCCGCAATCCCCTTTACACCAATACAGCAATAAACAATTACACGTTTAAATTTACCTAACTGTATACGCACAAATATATTATGACTATTAAAACGTTATTTTTCATATGCAAGCGCGTTGTCTGTTGGATATCTGTGTTCTGGTTCTGCTCATTAATTATGAAAAACGCGCATAAAACGTTTAGCCGTTACTATGAAAAAGATTATCGGATTTTATTTTGGGGATGTTAATTTTAAACTCGGCTGCGCTAAGACCCCCCTAGCGCTGACCTAGTTACGTCTATGGGTATAAAAATCACTATTGTGGTGGAAATCACATGATCTCTATTGGCGGAAACGTATAATATATTGCCGGGAAAGGTTCGTTTCGACGGAGAACGGTGACGCCCGTTTCAGGCGGGTATTTCGGAAGGTATGTAGAACGATTCTGAGTGGAGTAATATTAGTTTTGTTTTTACCATTGTTGCTTAGGCAAACCAGAAATCGACAAATAATTAAAAAGACAAAAAAACACAAGGACCGACGGGTGAACTCTTGAACATTTTGATAAATTGTTACGAATGAAATACCGTCGGCTGCGGAACATTTCGCGTCTTTTAAAACACCACGTGAAAAACCCGAAGCATTTTCACTATTGTTTTCCGGGGGAAAAAAATGCATGTTTTTTGTAAATGCTTCGCCGCGTAATAAAATCTAAAATCTGCAAAAACAAAAATTCCGAAAATCAGTCAAACGGTACGGGTACGCGCGTTGTACAATTATAGGTGCAATAGGTACTCGCGGGTAAGTATTTTTTCGATATTCCAAATGTATTTTATAAATGAAAAGAATGCTGTCCTTAAAAACCGACCGGTTGGAACCCTTTTGCGTTACGTACCGCACAAAGGCCGAAGGGTCATTCACGCTGACCCGTTCTAGTGTTATATAGCATATGACGCTCTGCAGTGTTTTGTGCTCTAGCTATTGATCCAGAATACGGTTCGATGAAAATTTTCCGAGCTGTATATATAAAACATACTGTGAATATAGTTGTGTATGTAGGCACCTCCTAATCCTAGTTAAAAGTTCGCGCATTGTTCGCGTCGCGTACAATTTTTGATTGTATCGACGAAATGTACTCAGCGAACAACAATCCGTGTGTAACGCAAAGAATATTATTTCGTGTTTTTGCTTGATTAAAAAAGGAAAAAATTAAACGATAAAAGAAAACCGCGAAATGTCGCAAATGTTAGTTATCTAAGAGCGAGAATTATTACACAGTAAAAACATTAGTCGTCTCGTAAAAAAAAAAAAAAAACAAAAAACGACGATATTGTTTTCGTAAAATTGTTGTTTAAACCTAAGTGATTGAAAGAGTCATTATTCTAA